GCCCCGGCTCGTCCGAAACTTTCTCAGAGCGTGTAGAAAACCACGGCGGCTAAACATTCACTCTGGTCACTAACCCTATAGGCCCTCATCCGCCCGCACCGCCACATGCACCAAAGTCACACCAAAATAAGGTCAGCAAGCATTGTGCTAATCACCGACATAGACTCACAGAAACCAAGACCCCCCCCCTCTCCCAAACCCCCCTAGCCAGAAAATAAGGACAAAAACAAAGAGGAACAAAAAAAAGCACAAATAAGCCTTATTAATGCTTATTTGCGCAGGGCAGGGGCTTGAAGAAATAACATGAAAATAGGGCTTAATAAGGCTTATTTTTCGGGATGTTGTTTCGGAAGATAAGGACAAAGTTTCTGAGCGACAGAAGCACATGGTGGGGTTCTGGGCGTGGGTTGGGCCCGAACAAAGCCGAAACACGGCCGAAGTAAGGCCGAAATAAGCCGAAATAAGGCCGAAATAAGGCCGAAATAGACCGAAATAAGACCGAAATAAGGCCGAAATAAGACCCAAATAAGCCCCAAAGAGGCCGAAATAAACCCAACAGAGGTTACGTGGGTTTCTGGGCGGGTTGGGTTGCCCTGCAGTCAACACGTGCCCTAAACTTCTCATAACCGGAAAACAACCAGGAAATAGCCAGAACATAAGGCGCTTTCGCTTTGCATCAAAAAATAAGCCTTATTAAAATTTATTTAGGCCTTATTTTTGAGCAAGGGGGGGTTTGCGGGGGGGGGGGGGGTGGTTGAATCCTGTGATAGACGTTGCAAGTGAACCATTTTTCTTTCAAAAGGGTCTTATCGCTATTGCTTTTTGGACTCTTAGTACTATTCTTATTGACAATCAGTGTCGCATTCTTAGCCACTCAGGGCCCCCAACCCTAAACCCTGGGACGTCGGGAGTTGGCCCTATCAGGCGGATTGCTGTAGTATTTACGGTCGCATGTCACAGAAGTCGTCTAAGCAAAGAGCCCAATACCCCTTGACTCAGGAAGATGCCTTAAATCAGATTAAGGATCCCTACATGAACTCAGGTATGTTCCTTAAGCAAGGAGTACACCTTAAATTCAGATTGAGGATCCCTACATCATGAATTCAGGTATATTCCTTGATCAAGGAGTATACCTTAAAATCAGATTAAGGATCCCTACATGAATTCAGATATATATATATATATATATATGTATATTCCCCAAACAGTGCTTGCACAATGGGGTTCTTTCGTTCAGAGTAAAGGAATTGGTTGCTGACCGCAACGGCGCGCGCGGCGGTGGGACGGGGCCTTGGTTTCGACGCTCCCGCTGTGGTTTCTCGCGAATTCCGTTGCGTTTCGATGCTCCCGCTGTGGTTTCGCGCGAATTCCGTTGCATTTCGATGTTCCCCCTGTGGTTTCGCGCGAATTCCGGCCTCTCGTGGCCTCTTCAGGCCTTTTCTGGGGGGCCACTTAGGTTGCCGACCGCAACGGCGCGCGCGGTGAGACGGGGCCTTGGTTTCGACGCTCCCGCTGTGGTTTCGCGCGAATTCCGTTGCGTTTCGATGCTCCCCCGCTGTGGTTTCGCGCGAATTCCGTTGCATTTCGATGCTCCCGCTGTGGTTTCGCGCGAATTCCGGCCTCTTCTGGGGGGGCCACTTAGGTTGCCGACCGCAACGGCGCGCTCGGTGAGACGGTGCCTTGGTTTCGACGCTCCCGCTGTGGTTTCGCGCGAACTCCATTGCGTTTCGATGCTCCCGCTGTGGTTTCGCGCGAATTCCGTTGCATTTCGATGCTCCCGCTGTGGTTTCGCGCGAATTCCGGCCTCTCGTGGCCTCTTCAGGCCTCTTCTGGGGGGGGCACTTAGGCCTTTTAAGGGATTGATTATAGGGTATAATAGCCCGCTTACGGGAAGGATAGGGTATAAAGAGCTTTTTAAAGGGGAGCCCATCCTGGGTAAGCCAGGTGACCATGAACATGATCATGGCCTTCGCGCACGCGATGACCGCAGCCTGGACCCTAGACTACTATTTGCTTAAGAACCCCCAAAAGGGGTTTAGGATTTAGGGTATAGGGTTTAGACACTCTTCCCAATAAGGGCAATACGTAGGGAGTTAATCTTCTATTTTTAGGGCGTTCATAAGCACGTAGTAGTAGTAGTAGTAGTAGTAGTAGTAGTAGTAGTAGTAGTAGTAGTAGTAGTAGTAGTAGTAGTAGTAGTAGTAGTAGTAGTAGTAGTAGTAGTAGTCGTAGTTGTAGTTGTAGTTGTAGTTGTAGTTGTAGTTGTAGTTGTAGTTGTAGTTGTAGTTGTAGTAGTAGTAGTAGTAGTAGTAGTAGTAGTAGTAGTAGTAGTAGTAGTAGTAGTCGTAGTCGTAGTCGTAGTAGTCGTAGTAGTAGTAGTAGTAGTAGTAGTAGTAGTAGTAGTAGTAGTAGTAGTAGTAGTAGTAGTAGTAGTAGTAGTAGTAGTAGTAGTAGCGTTTAGGGCCACGACATGCGGGACTCCTGAACTTGAAGGTGGGGATGGGTAAGGGTGCTGGCCACCTGAGTTTCGTGAGTGACGGTAGTTTCATGGACCCTTAGTATGGCCCCGGCGGTTGAAGCCCCAAAGCGTTCAGAACCACGTGCTGCTGCCATCTGTTTCCTCGTCTGCAACTGTCAAATTCTCCCGGAAGAAGGGGGCGGTGGAGGGGGTGGGGGGGCAGGGCTCAATTTGGTCTTCTGCTGCCATGTGAACTGCACCCTGAACCCGAAACCCTAAACCTCCAACCAGGCGGCCTCTAAAGCTGCCCTTGCTTTCGATCCCCACACCCCGAGGCCAACGCACGACATGCCCAGCTTGGAGGTTCATGGTACTCATTTAACCCAATTATAAGCGCACTTATCCCCCAATTATAACCCATCAGGACACTCAACGGGCTTATGAGTGGGTTAGAAGCTATAAATGGTTAAATAAGTACCATGAACCTCCTAGTGAAGCCCTTAATCCTCAACTGCAGGTCTTGGGACAACCAAGTCGTGCTTTTCATGTTCTGTTTGATCTTTGCACATCTGCAGAATCTACACACACATAAATAAATAAATAAATAAATAAATAAATAAATAATAAATATATGTATATATATATTTATATTTATTGATTTATTTATATTTATTTATATTTATTTATATTTATTTATATTTTTTATATTTATTTATATTTATTTATATATATTTATATATTTATATATTTATATATTTATTTATATTTATTTATATTTATTTATATTTATTTATATTTATTTATATTTATTTATTTACGCGTTTACTTGTTTTAATGGTCGTTTATGCCTTTATTTGTAGAGGCCCCAGCACGCGTTTCGGGAGTTCGGCACATCAAGGCCTTATTCGTGGAATTGGGCCCCGCGCACCTCCCTCCCTTACGGCCCGCTGGGCCCCTATGAGGATCGCATGTGAGCGGCGAAAGGGTCTTTGGCCGGAATGCCTTTTGCCTCCTCCCCCACCAAACGGGACACAAGCTTCAAGCCTCATGGTACCCAGAGGACATCTGACAGAGGGATATCCACAAAACCCTAAACCCTAAAAACCCTGTAAATCCTTTAACCCCTTAAACCCTCAACCTTTTGAAAACCCTCCTAAGCCCCAAGCCACAGCTCTCAGTTGCGGGGCGTGGTCTTCGACTACAACCTTTGGCATGAAGAGAGGGAAGATGGGGACATGGCTCGTCCCTCAGCTGGCTGTCGCCCTCTTCCTTGTTGTTTTTTATTCTTATTGCGGGGTTGTTTGGGGGTGTAGGAGCTTGCTGCATTCCCGTCCGCGTGTCTGTGCGTCTGTGCGTGCGTGCGTGCGTGCGTGCGTGCGTGCGTGCGTGCGTGCGTGCGTGCGTGCGTGCGTGCGTGCGTGCGTGCGTGCGTGCGTGCGTGCGTGGGTGTGTGTGTGTGTGTGTGTGTGTTCTTTGGTGTGTATCCTGCTCTGCGCCGGAGTCGGTACTGAAAGTTTGCGGGGCTGCGGTCGGGCTGAGACTTTTGCTTCCGGCATTCCCGGATTGAGACCGGGCTCGAGGTGTTTAGGGTTTAGGGCTTAGGGTTTAGGGTTTGCTGTGATAGGGCGTAGATGCTGTGAAGGTTTGGATGCAGCAGCGGCTCGAATGCCTCGTCAGGTGCGAAGAGCAGTTCTGGCCCGATTGTGGAGGGCCGTCTAATACTTGTCTCCCACCCCACGCCGTCCGAGGCGGCAAAACCACCCAAACCTGTTCCTTGTAGGGTTTAGGCCTAAACTCATGACAATCGCTTACTTCCCCCAAAAAAAAGCCTTTCCGTCACCATGGCCACTTTCAGCCAAGGGAAAGGTTTGAGGCTAGGTCCTCAGGAAAGGAGAGGTTTGCAGAGTCAGGAGGAGGGAGCGGGGAGGGTCAGGACGCCGGGCCATGGAGGGTCCCGGAGCCTATGCCGGAGTCTTGGAGCCTTGGTTGGGTCTGGCTCCCCCTTGTTGGGGGGGGTCAGGGCGGTCCCTGCCTGGACCAGCCTGAGGCCCCCTGATCCCTGGACACGCTGCGGCGAGGGGGTCCGGGTCCTCCTGCCCTGGGGCCTTGGGGCCCCCTGAGAATGCCAGCCACCTTTACTTTATGAAAAGGGACCAGTACTGGTTCCGGTACCGGGCCCATCGTGGGTGCTACCGACCTCCGGGCTGCAGGGTCGACTTCCGCCATAGACGTCGAAGGGCTTAAGCGCCGCCCCCCCTTCTGTAGGGGGGCGGCCTAGGCCCTGAATTTAGGGTTTAGGGTTTGCTTTGTTTTTTCCCTGGGTTACCTTTAGAGTTCAGAGTTTAAGGAAGAGCCTGCTGTTTCTTGCCCTGGAGTCTGTGAAGGGTCTCCAGATTGCTCGCAGCTGAATGAGATGCACTGTCCGCTATGAGAGTTGGGGTTGGGCATGCCAATGTCACGTGTGCTACGTTCGTGCCCCCCTAAACCCTAAACCCTACACCCTACGCCCTAAGCCCTAAACCTTTGGCACCGGGCCGCTCAGATCCTGCCGTACTTCTCCTGCCCGCTGGCTGGGGCAGATGTGGTTCGGCAGACGCCGCAGGTGCACGACAAACCCTAAACCCTAAACCCCTAACCCCTAGACCCGAGACCCGAAACCCTTTAGACAGACCTATAACACCCGTCCCCCAACACCCGTATTTGTGAGCTCTGTGGATCTCTGGGCTTGGGTCGACTCATGTTGGATTTGGGACTTTGGGGGGTTTCGGGAGTAGGGCCAGGGTTCTAGATATTTGTAGGGTTTCGGGCTTAGGGTTTTAGATTTCCTCAACTTTCAACCCTAAACCCTACACCCTAAACCCCAAACCCTAAGCCCAAAACCCCAAGGGCCGAGGCCCTAGAAATGCTGCCAGGGGGCGGCGCCGCCCCCGCTGACGGAGCCCTTTGAGAAAATGACCCCAGAGGCCGGATGCGATCGGTTGTTTTGTGTTAAGGGTTTCATTTTGTTTTAAAGTTTTTAGGGCTTTTAGGCGTGTTAGGTTGTTTTTTGTTTTTTTAATTTTTCGGGTTCTTTAGAGTTTTTAGGGTTCTCAGTCTTTATAACTAGGGCTTATATAGGTTTGTTAACTAGGGTTCAGGAGGTTTGAATACAGGTTTCTGGGTACAGGGTTTAGAGAGGGGTCGTTCCATGGTCCCTTAATAAGGGTTCTGAAGTCTGGGCCCTTGGGTCTTACGGTGGACAGGGTCTATAAGGGGTAGAAAAGCGGTCCCCAGGTCAGGGCCCATACTACGGGTTTAGGGTTTAGGGTTTAGGGTTTAGGGTTTAGGGTTTAGGGTTTAGGGTTTAGAATTCTGGGCGTAGGGTTTAGGGTTTTGGGTTTAAGGTTTAGGAGAAAGAAAGGCCCCACTCAAGTGACTCATTATTGTGTGCCCTTCATTGTTACTGGGCTTAAGAGGACCATATCTAGGAATGATGTTCAGAGGGCTCTGAACGGGGCCATCCTAGATATCCATGTTCAGCTTAATTTCCTTTTTGAGTAGCCGAGGGCTGCACCGGCTGCTTTTGTTGGCTACGTGCGACCTTTGGTTGAAGTTGCCGATGTTGTTGCCATGAATGTTTTGGCGCAGGATATGGCCTGCTTCATTTGATTTAAGCAGCTTTTGCGAAAGTGCGCTACAAGATAGCAATCTGTCCAACTCCCCAAGCCAAGAGACCTGCGCAAGGAATGCAAACATTCCCGATTGCCCCAAAACTCTGATCCCTCAGTCAGGCGGGCGGCAAAAGAAGCTTTGGATCTCAATCCCTACAGTCCCTGAGCACTACATCCTAAACCCCAAGCCCCAAGCCCTGGTAAGTCACAGGAGAAGATGGCCGTGGAGCTCAACACCACGGACGCAGCCTCTATTTAGGGGCCCTAAACCCCAAACTGGGGCAACATCACAAAGGGAGAGGTTTTCCACGGGTCGCAACAAACACGTAGCGAACGCATGTTTCGGGTTCAGGGTATGTACAGTACTGGGGGAAGGCGTTCCATTTTCGGTACTTCTATGCGCTCGTGGAGGACACAACCCGAGTTTCTTGCGTCCGCAGCTTGTCCTCCCCGAAATCGCCAAGGCAAAGTAACATGGATGTGAGACAGGGTTTTGGGTGTCTTTGCGTATTCTACTATCGTGAATGCTACGGAAGAGCTTCAGCGAGTTCTCTGGTTCCACAAACCACAGACCCTAAACCCTAAGCCACAAACCCTGAACCCCTTGCTTGCAGGACACGTTCACCTTCCTTTTCTGGACCAACCGGTCGGACTTCCTCCGCTCCTTGGTTGAGTTGACGACCTGTCGCATACTACTACGGGAACCTGCACAATTGCCAATTTTATCTTCCTACAGTCATCTATAATTAGTTAGGAATAGTTAGTTAGGATATATCCTCTTCGAGATATACAGTTAGTTAGAATATATCCTCTTCGAAATGCCCCGTCTAATCAAATAGGCCCCTGTATTCGGATCGGCACAAGGCTTGGCTTGGAAGTGAAATCGGGTAAGGCACGCGCTCAGCGTGCCCACGGCTGCAGTTCCTGACTTAGCAACAGGTTTGTCATTGAATCTTCTTATCCTAAACCCTAAACCCTAAACCCTAAATAAACCCTAAGTGCTCACCAAAGCACTCGCAGAGTGGTCCATGCACTCAATGGTTTTTGCGGGAGGGGAGGCGGGTCATACCAGAAATTTCAGATGAAGCCGCAGTACTTCGGCAGGGAACCCTTAAATGGGACCATTATTTTGAGCTGCTCCTGTGGCTACTCAGGGTTCGGGTAGTGAGGAGAGAGGAGCTCAAGGAGTCGGAGCGTGAAAAGCATGGGCAGCAGTCCCTGACTCCGTGGTAGGCCCTTAGAAACTTTTCCTGGACCAATGTTGCTTTAGAAGACCAGCTACCCCCCCCCCCCCGGCCACATGCCGAAAAATCTTCAACTTAATTAGGGACTGGGCAGGTAAGCTTCAACCTTCTTTTGGCTGTATAGAAACCCTAAACCCTAAACCCTAAACCCTTCTATATATATATATATATATTGAAGGGTTAACCTTTTTTGGGGATAGGGTATTCAGCCCCTAAGTCCCTAAGTCCATGATGAGTCGCCCCCGGCTGTCCATGTCCCAGGATGGGAGCTGGTCAATCTGCCACTAGGCCGTCCTCAGACTTCAGAGAGTTCTCCAAATTAGGGTCCCTTTTGTTCGGGGGTTCCATATGGGGTTCCTATATACAATCTGGCCCCCTTGTAAGAAGGACAGGGTGCTACCAATTTAGAGAACTAGCCGCGCTTGAGCTTACAGCTATTGTGGGTTTGGGGTGTGGAGCCGCAGCCCCGTGACAGCTTCGAGCATGGTGCCCCTGCATCGAAAGCCTCATTGTTAGCTCGCCGCCTTTCTAGGGTTCGCTTTTGGCTAGTGTTAAGAGAGTGATAGGTTCAGGGGTTGGGGTTTGGGGTTTCGGGTTGAGTTTCCCCAGTGCAAAAGAACTTTTTCATCCTCCGCCACCCCGAAGATTCCCCATCATCTGGTGCCTTCTGGGGCCCTTGGCCCTGGGCCTCCTGAGAACCCGTAGACACCGGAGAAGACCCGACCCCTGCAAACCAAAAACTATCTGCAAAGCCTCGGCTTTTTGGGGTTTTAGGGGTAGTTTTGTGGTTTTCGGGATTTAGGGTTCCAGGGTTCTCGGGTTTTAGGGGTTTTTGGGTGTCTGAGCCATGAATATCCTTCTCCCTCCCCCCCCCCCCCCCCCGCTTTTTTTCGGGGCTTCAGCGGCAGCGGCAGCAGGGCTGGGGGACAAGATGGACGTGTTCCATGGCCCACAGCCCATCAACTTTGTTGTGCCTGGGCCAGAAAAGCTACGGGGCACCGGGTGGAGTGTCTAGGGGCTTGGGGGTGGTACGGTGTATAGGGAGGGGTGGACGCACCGGCCTTTACCCCAAAACCTTAAACTCCCAATCAAGCCCTCAATCTGTTTTGTGGCGTTGATAGGGCTCGAGCCCTAAACCCCACAGGCACGACACGCAAACACAGCAAGCGGAGTCGGGACCCTTCGTCGGAACCATTTAGGATAAAAGAGGGTTTAGGGTTTAGGGTTTGGGGTTTAGGGTACGCCTTCCTTGCGCTGTCCCAGATGGGGAGTTTCTGGATAGGCTGGTAGTTGAGGTGTTCGGGAGGCCTAGCAAGCTACCATTTTTGTCAGCCAGGAGATGTCCTGAAGGATTGGCTGCACCCCGGAGATAAAGTTCAGTCGGAGCCCCCAAAAAGTTTGTGAACTCACGCAGGCGGATAAATTAGTCTAGGACCCAGAGTAGGCCCCAAAAAGGGCAACACTTTCTATTCCTAATTAGGTGTCCAGTAGTTGTATGGGGCACGGCCGCGCAGGTGTACAAGAAGCGCCCCGGCGTCGAACGCTCCCCACTGACAGTGCGTGACAAGCAGTACTTGCCACTTGGACCCGGGTCGTCTCAGACAGGTGGCAGTGATAGCCCTAAACCCTGACCCCTAAACATGATATGCCTGCATGGCCAGTAGCAAATACCCGTCTAGGATCCCTTCTAGATCCCCTTATGAAACAGCAGGGTTTTTTTAACGTCAACAAACCCTAGATGGTTCCTTTTAACGTTCAAAAACCCTAAATTCAGGATCCCTTCTAGATCCTTCTGAAACAAGCAAGCGTCATGTTTGTGTTGTTTTGTTTAGCTTGTCTTCCTGCCCCCCAAAAAAAGACAATATCCGTATTATCCTTATAGGAAAGAATATCCATTTTTTTTTGGGCCGGGGGGGGGGGGGGGGGCGTTGAACCCCTAAATCCTAAACCCTTTAGGCTTCGGGATGTTCCGGGCTTAGAGTGCCCAGTAAACCTGTAGACAGCAAACCAGAAACCGCCCCCCCCCAAAAAAAAAAAAAAAACAAAGCTTGGGATGTTAACAGTCCTTCATGGGGATTATAGGAGGTACTATAAGACCCATGAAGGACGATTAGTATAAGGAGGAACATCCCAACCCAAAGCCGATCCAGGTTCCGCTTAGTGATCCATCGCGCCCCGCACGACGAGCTGGATGCCGCACCCGAAAGCCCCGCACCACGGCAGATTTTGGTGCGGGGGCTTTACCTAAAGCTCCCGTCGGAATGACGTGCTGGAAGCTTTCTGCTTTGTAAAAAGCCCAAGGGAATATTCAACATGTGGGGGTTTCCGAAATTAGGGGCACCTTACTGGGGCCCTTATTGTGAGAGAATCCTACGATGTGTGGGGGACTCTATTGGGGATCCCGTATTTTCGTAAACACGCCATCTTGTTTTTTGGGTTTAAGGGAGGGTGCAATTTGCTTCTCGCGAGCCCTTGAGTTGGAAGGTTTAGGGTTTAGGGTTTATAGGGTGCTTTGTTGTGTTTTTAGGGCTACAGTGCTTAGGGTTTAAGACTGTTGTTGAGGGTTTTGACGGTCTACTTCAGCAGTTCAAGGTCTTGAGTTTAGGGCTGGATGTTCCCCCTTGCACTAACAGTCCTTCATGGGGATTGTGGTACCCCCTCTTGTAATCCCATTTAAGACTGTTAGTATAAGGGGGAACGTTGCTTGAAGATTGTGGCGTGTACTTCTCCTTTGCACACTGCGATTACGAATGGTCAAGCTTTGCATGCTACGTCTTGTCTTTTTTGGCCAGCCTGCTCGGAAGAAAGCCCTCCCTTAGGTTCAGGATCCAGGGTTTAGGGTTTCAACAACCATTTCTTGGCATGTATCCCCTTATACTCACAGTCCGTAATGGGGATGCTAAACGGCTAACTTTAATACCTATTAAGGACGTCAGTATAAGGGGGGAGCCTCCCAAGTTTAGGGTTTCAACAACCATTTCCATGTTCCAGGAACAGGAATGCCGGCTTAGGGTTCGTCAAGGGTCTATCAAGAAAATCAAACTTGCACCTGTAACGATGTACCCCTAAGGGGTTCCCTGAATCTACTCCTGATATGGCCCTTATATCCCGTTGGAGGATCTTGAACAAGGGTCCCCAAACCCAAGGGTGCAACCGTAGGGGCCCGAGCTAGAATCCCATGTAGGGTGTTTGAGTTTAGGGTTTAGGGTTTAGGGTTTAGGGTTTAGGGTTTAGGGTTTAGGGTTTAGGGTTTAGGGTTTAGGGTTTAGGGTTTAGGGGACCAGAGCCCCCGCATGTGGGGAGTGTTTATTTCTTGCTTCGGCGAGAGAGGCAGCACTTTGTGAAGACTCTATGAACCCAAGCTTTGTAATAGTGGCGCTGGAATTTTGCATGTTTAAGGGTACTTAAGCTCAATAAGTAAGGACAAGAACTCTAAGTTTTCAATACCATCCCAGAGGCCAAAGTACATGCGGTAGGGACGTCGAGATTTCGCCAGGGGGATGTGTGGAGTTTCGAATCGTGTTTAAAGGAACCCGAGCCCGGATCCCTACCACCCCAACTAGGACCGGGAGTAGGCCCTTTTTTCTTTTTTTTAGGGTTGGGGTTCCCTTATAATCCCCTTGAAACCAAAAAGGGTACCCTTTTTATTCCTAGGTTACTCCCGGGTCTAGCCAAACCTTAAACTCTAAACCCAACTTGGAAGCCCTTTTACTTAGTAGGTAGGGTTAGTAAGGTGGGTTATGGGGATGATAAGAGGGGTTTCTAGGGGTTGCTAAGTAGACTTAGGAAGTCAAAAGAGCTTCTAAGTAACCCTCAAACCCAAACCCTCAACAAAAACAACACACCCCAGAAGCCCGCCAGGTTCGGCTTCCAACACAAGTCCGCTGCGCAGCTGCATCGTTGATGGTCTAGGTGGTTTAGGGTTTAGGGTTTAGGGGGGATGGGTCCTTCTTCGGCCCTGGACCCTGTTCAGGCTCTAGGGTTTATAGGGTGGAGGCCTAGGGCTCCTCTTATGTCCCTTTTTTGCCGTTTAGGGTCTTAGGGGTGGGGGCTCGGGCTTTGGGTTGAGGGCTCGGGGTAGGCTTTCGGGAGTTTCGGGTTTATCAACAGGGTTCAGGGGGCTTCATTTGTTCGAGTGCCTATGAGCTACGGACTGCATCATCTATCCAGAAATGAGAGAGATCCTGAACCAACCGCCCCCCCCCCCCCCCCCCCCCCCCTAAAGGGTATATAGAGGGCCCGAGTTTTTAGAAACCCTATATGATCCCTCCAAGGGTACATATAGAGGGCACCTTATACTAACATTCAACAGGCGTATATTCAGAGGGCACTAAAGGGTGTTGCAGAAGTCCAGGCCCAATCAATCGACAAGCAGATTCCAAGCCCTAACATAGGCCCTACGAACCTTTCTGGGTACAGACTGAACTGACTGAATTTGCCACGGCCCCTCATATTGCCCTCTTACATACCCCTTTAATCTACCCACCTACCCTAAACCCTAAACCCTAAACCCTAAACCTCTTTATAAACCCCACCCCCCCCCCCCCCCCCCCCCCCCCGCCCTGCTTATGTCTCCCAAAGTGTTTGTTGGCCTCTCAGACGCGCCCACCGCGCCGGATGCCTGCTGCTGCTTCCCTTGGCTGTGGCGCTACAGTGCATCTTAGGGTTTAGGGTTTAGGGTTTAGGGTTTAGGGTTCAGGGTTTAGGGTTTAGGGTTGGGGTGTCCTGGACCCACGCTGCAGAGTAACACCCCTTACTTGCTGGTGGAGAGGGGGGTTAGGGGGAGAAGAGGGGAGTAAGTAGAGGCACAAGCATTAGCATAGGGGGGGGTATGTTTGGTATGGGGTTTGTATTGTAATGCGATCCACTCACTCGACCACAGGTGGGGCTCGGTCGAGGAGGTATTTCCAGGTAGATGGGCACCTTTGACAGTATACTAGGATGCCCAGTAGTACCCTTATTCCCTTTTTGGGGGGCTTTAGGTTCCCTTATAAACCCCTCTACGCAAAAAAAGGGCACCCCTTTTTAAGCCTATAAGTTACTGGGCAGCCTAGTATATGTTGTCTCTGGGTATTTTTAGTACGAACACCTTGCCACAGCAACAGTGGCGGTGGCCGCCCTGCGTGCCAAAAACTACGTGCAGTGTGAGGATGCTCTCTGAGACATTGCGCAGCGGAGCCCAAAGCCACACGGGCCTGTCTCAACTCCATCTGTGAGGATGTGTGGGTGCGCGCGCCGCGTCGGAAAATTGTCACGACTGCGCACTCAAATCCCCGCGATCCCCGATCTCTCTCTCTCTCTCTCTCCCTCTCTCTTTTCTTGCTCCTCTCGCTCTCTTTCCTTCTCTTCTCTGCCTACATGTCATGTCTATGTCGGGCGTAGGCTTCAGCCAACTTCAAGAGCTGGCGAAGAGCATTCCGAGGGCTTTCCGAGCGCACCCCTGAGCGCACGCCAAGAGGACTCCAAGAGGCTTAGGGTTTCCGGGCGCCAGGTTTCCGGGCCCCAATGACGACCACAGCACTTCACTTAAGACATCGACCCCCTCTTTTCGGGGAGCACCCGAAAATGTATCCCCGCAATACAGGCGCCTTAGTAGACGGGTTCAGGGTTCATGTACATTAATAAGAATTTTCATCGTGTAGGGTAGGTGACCCCAATTTTGGGGTTCATTTGGTCCCTAGGATATGAGCCGCGTGCTGCAGACACGCTTCCTTTTGCTTTCTGGCCGAGTTCACCGGCCGAACCCCTTCGCCGCGATTCGCAGAAAGGCTCAAGAAGAAGGAGAAGAGCTTCCATGCAGCTTATCAGGCACATTGATACAGTGATGTAGGGATCTAGGGATCCTCATCGCACAGTGCTGCCGAGGTGTCCTTGTCGATTCTGGGGTTTCAAGCGCCCAGGGTCGCCATGGAGCTAAGCCGAGACGTTGCCGTGGATGATAGGCAGCAGGCCCGCGGCGTGCCCTAGAAT